TAGCTCTTAACTAGTGTCTGCTTCTATTAGCTCTTAACTAAAGTCTGCTTCCTTTAGCTCTTAACTAGTGCCTGCTTCCTTTAGCTCTTAACTCTTGTCCACTTCCTTTAGCTCTTAACTTGTGTCCGCTTCTTGAGCTATCCTTTGGTTATGCTGCTATAGGCTTAGACTGCTGGAGGAATAACTGACCACATCTCTTCACTCTGCTGTTGTTACTCGCTCTACTGTTCATGTTTGTATTTGTAGATATTTCTATAGTTAACGTGCTACAATGATGATTTTTTTTTTAAAGTACCTTTATGATTCAACAATTTTCAGTCAGGTCATCTGGACAGTTTCTTTTTTTCTGCTGAAACATTTCACCTTCCATCCAGAAGGCTTCATCAGTCAAGGAAACACACAACACAAAACCTTTATGATTCCTGGCTGCTAATAATCTGCTGTTTAATGTTTTATAGTTTACAAGCCAAAATTGTTTTTATACATTTGTGCTGAAAACAAAATTCTAAACATTGAACTAATCACACTCAAAATGCTTTACCCACATTATTCATACATGGGACAGTGGCTACTGATTAATCAATTATACACTCAATAACTTTTTCTTTTAGGAGATTTTTTAAGTGAATTAATGCACAAATACACATTAAAAACTGGGCTTGAATACACACATTGTGTACAGTAGTGTGCCGTGTTGTTAACTATTGTCAAACTTTTTTGAACTTCCAGACGTATATTTGTGGGAATGCTGATTCAGCATTCTGCATAATTTGTGCTATTCGTATAATCAAAATGTTTGGCTTGATTGGAAATAGTGAGCAAAGACTTTTAGTTTCTGCCCTTTCATAAGACCAAGAGAGTAAACCAAACCCTGTGGTTGTAGATAAACACAGATGACTTGGTTTGATTGTTACAAAGGGAGGAGATGCTTTTTCACCACGTGCGTCTCTTTTATTGCAGCGTTAAAACAGGAGAACTACATAAAATAAATAAAATGAGTAGGAAGCGTTTCCATTTGATCACAGAGAGGTGGGTTTGATCAACAAACACTGAGCGGACTCAATCATAGCGTGTCCAGAGCTTTCGTCCACATGCGAGTCTGAACTAAAGGCGTCTTGGTCAAAATACACACACACTCGTGCACTTTTGAAGTGCCACTACAACCTGCGGTGTGCACACACAGCTGAGAGGCAGGAAAAGACATGATAATGACCGGTTTTGCTACACAACGCCCTCACACAGAAACACACAAACTGCAGGCTAACCTGGTCTGTTCGACGCGCCACTGAACCCACCAGGAGGATCTGGGTCAGATAAAACAGCACGCTCATACTAAAGCATTTAAACACACTGCCGTACAGAATGTGACAAAAGTTTCTCCAGCAAACCTTTAACGGTACAACCGTAGTCCACGAGTAGCTCCGGACTCGTCACAAATATCAACTAAACCGTTCGCTTTGAGCAAAACAGAAAATCCTGTTAGAAGCTAAAAACGAACACGGAAAGACTAATAAAATGAACTTCTCCAGATGAGAGCGTCAGCAGGACCAGATCTGCCCTGCAGTCTTGTGGTGCTAAACTATTCGTGGCACCCAGATTTCCTGGTAGTTCACATCAAAATGTTTTCTGAAGCGGAACTCCAGTAGTTACTTCCACGACATCTGAGCATTGCCCGAGGCAAAACTAAAAGAAGAGCAGAAACCAAAGGCCTTTTCTAACCTTGTGACACGACGGGTTCTTCTACTGTTTGTGTGTGAACCTGGAAACAGAAATTAATTCCTTGTAGAAACTAATAACCCTCTAATTTATTCAGACAATATCAGCCACGTCTTAAAAACTGTCTCTTCGCCTCTTCGTACTTAATCACCTACCAGGTAAGAAGCAGCAGCAGCTACAAGCTGCTCACTGAAGACCACAAGTGTTTTAAAGGAAGAACGTTATTTTATTTATCGTTTTCACGAGCGCCTGTTCCTCTAAGGCCAAATTCACACTGCACGAAAAAGCGTCCAAATACAATGTTTTTATTATATGTTTGTTCATATACGATCCAAATTAAATGTTTTTTATGACCATCCATCCATCCATCCATCCCTCCCTCATCCATCATCTTTACCCACTTCTTCCTTTCCGAGTCACTGGAGTCCATGTCCAGCAGTTGTTGTCTGTACTCTGTATGTTCGGTCTGGAACAGGTCTTTCTTGTAAATGAGTCCTTGTGGCTCAATGGGACTAGCCTGTATACATAAAGGTTGAATGAATGAAAAAAAACTGCAAGAGGTGGGGGACACCCTGGACAGGTCTCCAGTCCATCACAGGGACACAGAGACAAACGAGACAAAACCATTCACTCTCTCTCTCACACCTAGAGACAATTTAGTTACCAATCAGCCTAACGTGCATGTTTTTGGTCTGTGGGAGGAAACCGGAGTACTCGGATGAAACCCACGCATGCACGGGGAGAACATACAAACTCCACCCAGAATCCGGCTGGGATTCCAACCGGCAACCTTATTGCTGAGAGGCGGCAAGTGCTACCAACTGCACCACCGTGCCAAATCCAATTTTTTCCAAATTTGATCCAGGTCTGTTTCATATGTGGTATTAATCAGATCCACCCAAGTGACGTTCGTCTGAACGGTCATGTCACATTTCATCTGACTTTACGTCAGTGAGGTAGGTGGAACGTCACGTTTTCTTCTGCGCGTTGCATCAGGACTGTGTTCACACTGGAGTCTGATGGAGGTCACATTTAAATTATAATGCGAGCGACCGCGCAGAAAAATCAGACCCGAGCATTATGACCTGCAGTGTGAACATAGCCTAAAGGTTGGTAAATATGACTTTATTTAAGTTAAGCAATTATTGATATATTTTGTTAAATAAGAAAATAAATTTCAGCAACAAAACAAAACTCTGATTTGTGTTTTGGTCACAAATTTTTGGACATTCACACGGGTCGACCTCTGACAGGAACCTAAAACTAACGCACAAACAGAAAGTCTAATCATAAACAAATGATTTAATGGTTTGCTTGAAATGCCCACAATATCTTAAAGTAGTTTAAAGATAATTTTCTTTTCTGTGACGGTTTTTAGATTCATCATGAATGAGACTATAAACAAATGTCTACAGATTTTAACCATCAAACCAAACAAATGTTACTTCAACAAATAAGCAGTAAATCTGTATTTCAATAAACTACGTGAGACTAAATATCTTAGGACGAAACATCTGAAATCCAGTTTAACAAGTTCAAAGCCTTCTTAAAGACAAACTGATCTTCATGAGGAAGTTAAAAAATTCACAGCAAACAAGACGTTTCTCCAACAGACAGACTTGAATGTTTGTCTTACAATGAGAAAAGAAACACTCGTGTTACAAAGTGACAGTAGTTTAGTTCTAAACACTCCGACTTTATGCTGAAAATGACTGAATCTGTTAGAAAACTGCTTTTTGAACAAGTCAAACTAGACTTAAAATAAAAATATTTATATATAAATGAAGCAGAACTTATCTTTACGGTCAAACTTAGCAAAACAGATTCACATTAAAAAAGTGAAACTCTTAAGTCTTGTTTTTTGCAACAAACTGGCGTGTTTCCATCGACAGTTCAGCCGGCAGATCTTACCTTATCAGATAAACAAGATTAAAGTTCAAAGATGATCTAAAACTATGAAAACAAACCCTTCAGTGTGAAGCCGAATCTAGTCTGAGATTTTAAGTCCGGCATGGAGACAGACACGTGAGGCTGTCTCTGCTTTTGACCAATCCTGCCTCCCGTAAGTGGTGACATCATGGTGTGATGTCACTAGGTGAGTCACATGAGGAAGTGGGACATATGGTAAAAATACACACACCGAGATTGGAGGGCAGCAGAGAATCTTACAACCATCTATGAACTCACAACTGTTGGTGTGTTTTAACTCCATACAATAAAAACACGCCCAGAATGAATGGAGGGGGAGACATTAAAGCTTTTCCACATCCAGTTACTGTTTACAGGGAAGGGAGTGTGTCTTTATTGTCTGTTTGTCAAACACACACACACACACTTCTTTTATAAACGTACTGTATTTATCTCTACCCATGCACAAAGACACACACAC